GCTAATGACGGAAGTACAAATTCATTGTTTTCTGGTGAAATGCACGTTACAACTCGCACCCCCCCCCTGCGACAGTATAACGAGGATATCTCAGGCACCGCAGGTCACCTGGATGCAACTGATGGCAACTGAATTTCTGTCAAGCCGCACATTGATGGAATTAACCAGTGTCGCATACGTTCTGTGCTGTGGATACAACAGGTAATTGCATTGGATTTTTAACGAGCCTTATTTGCATTTTCTGCATATACGTAGTAACACTGTTCTTCTTAGTCACTTGCATTCGTAAGTTATCCTTGTCTCCCGATAAGCTTGTGGATACACACCCAAGTTGCTTTTCTTAGTCGATTTTGAAGTAATATTTGCTTCAAAAAAACTCGTAGAATTGAATCATGAGCCTTTCAATCAGATTTTACAAAGTGTACCAGTTTACCTCTAATCAACCAATTCTTTTTTTTTCCAGAAAACGCTGCAGATGGCAAACGCAATGCTTTGTGTATTTACGTTCGAAGAGTCGGGAAACACACCACAGCGGAAATGTGACTACGGAAGTAGTGTAAGTGCCCATCTATATGTATTGTTCTACGTGGACTCGAATATAAACATTTGAACATCTCTTATCTGTATATATATATTACTAAAGTGACGCTTTTTAGTACCGATTTGTCCAAAATTCTTTAGTACCTATTTATTTTACCAACCAACAGATTTCTAATATGGTAGGAACCAGCTGCGGAAGACAAAAGCGATGCTTCCCACGAAATGTGCAATCGGAAGACGAACGATATTATTTGCTGAAAACATTTTCCAAATTATTTTTCTTATCAATAAATTATTCACCATCCTTAATCATCGTATTGTGTTCTACCTTATGCGTCAGTGGGTATAGCAAAGGATTCGTACGACCAGACTACCAATATCTCGAAAATAAGCGCCCCTCTGCGCATATTTTGCACGGGGGGCTAGCGGGGGCCAAATGGGGGAATTGCCGCGCTTGAGCCGCGCCTGTGCCCCTCTAGCCCCGTCAAATCCCCACCATGCCCCACGGGGCATGGTGGGACCTGGAGGGGCTGGTGATTCATGGGCTCGGACGATGTGTGTTTTGTCCCACGCGAAGCTGTGTGCTGTATCAATGATATGTATAGCCACTTCTGATAAATGTTCACGTCTTTTCACTGCCAGTTGGTGCTCGTGAATACATGTAGAAACGGATCTTCCTGTTTTGCCGCAGTATGGGGTATCACAAACTTGGCATGGGATATTGTAAACGACTTATCTCATATCGAAGTAG